TGTTTGAGAAATCCTGCAGCGTTTTTAGGCAGACATGCTGAGGAGCAAAACGACAGGTGGGGACCAGAAACGCCCCTGGGATGTGTCTTTAAGCCAAGCTTCCTCATGGCTGAGTGCCCCCACCCACTCCTCCCTCCCCCCACACCCCGCCCATGACTCCTGCAGGCTCTCGGGTGAAAGTGAAAGTGAAACATAAACTGTCTGCTGAGCTCTTTACATTAGTTCTCACTCAGTGAAGCATACATGTCCACTTGTACGGATTGTCCGTAAGTTATAAGGATTTTATGTCATTTTGCAGGTATACGGGCGTATAGAGCAATCTCACAGTTTTTTTTTCAGGTCTTACGGGTTTTTTCAAAACCTCATTTTCAAATTTATCTAACATGTCAGAGCCTGTAAGATGATTTACAAAGCAATAAATAACATCAAACAGCCATCTTCCAACTTGTTCTGCCACTGGAAATAAGTTTTGAACTTTTTCCGCTCTCCTTTCCTCCTGCTTCGCAGCCGGCGCTTTCATGTCTGCAGCCGACGACCCCCGCACCCCCACCCCACCCCGCGCGGGTGCGAGTTGTATGGATTTTTTGAGAAATTCACAAATTTTTGGGGCTCTTTAAACAGGTTAACGTCCAAAAAGGTTGACATGTATGGTGAAGCTCTTTTCAGATTAAAAATACCTTTGAGGAAATGTATTTTCAGATGCCAAGTAAACCGCATCAAAGCAGCCCCCCCCCCGCACTGAAATGGGCGAGACAAAGGTGGAAGGTGGTTCTTAAAGAGACAGAGGCCAATTTCGAGGCGTTTAGAAGAGGAAGTGATGAGAAGATAAGTTTATTTTCTATTTAAACACAAAAACAGCATTTTAATAACAGCTAAAGGTGACATAGATACTTTATTATGGTATAGTATTTAAATGTATGCCTGAGAAACACATAATATTGCCCCTTTAAAAGTGCATCAAACCTATAGCTTCAGGTCAGTTATATCTAAAAGTAGCAAAAAGACAAAGCCTGACTCCCGCTTTCCTTTTTAATAATCTTTTAATGGGAGAGGCCCTCGCAGGGTGCAGCACTGTGTAATTATAGATGCTGATAAGTCTCTGCTGCATTGCTTTATATATCATATTGACGTGGAGCTAAAAGCCTGCCAGCTCGCTCTCCTTCTGTCTGCTGCATTTCAAGGGAGAATCGTTTTAGCATTATTGACCATCTCCATCGTCTGGGCAAAGAGTCAGGCACATGCATCTGAGGCACAAAGCTCTGCGCGCTCACAGTTCTCTGTCGGCTAACTGGAAATGTGCCAAATGATGCAGATGATATCTTCCTCGAGCGGTGTCTGAAGCTCATAAACCGGTTAATCATGATGGGTAAAAATGTTTCCACACGGGAGCAAGGAGATGGAGACGTTAGCGTGCGCACGCACTACAAACAAAGCAAGGCAGTCGTGACGAGCACGAGTGTGGGGAAGGGGTGTTCGACTGCATGATACTGACTTGTTAGTGGGTGTTGTGACATTGGCGAGGATGGTGAAGTTGCTTCTTACAGTTCGTAGGCTGGCCAACACCTGGGGGGGATGGATGGACAGCGTAGGAGGGAAGGAAGTAAGGAGGGAGCAGTGGGGGAGGGGGAGGGGAGGGGAGGACAAGTTCACTGCACTGCTTCGCCACCTTTTATGGCCAGTTACAAGAAAAAATAGCCGCCGACAGCAAAACATACCTGAGCAAAGGGGGTGACGATCATGTCTTCGGCGTGCCTGCCAGACAAAAAGTCCAGAAAGTGCAAAGGGTTAGAGAAAAGTGCATTAGTGTTTAGAAATGAGGCTGCATCTGGGAGGTGGATGTTTACAGAAACATGAGCGGGTCTAAACAGATAATCCTGAGGAACACACGTGGAAGGCTGCTGTTATTTTTCTTTGAAGATAAACCAGATCTTTATTCTCCTGGTTCCATCAGCACAACGCTTGCATAATTATAACGCTAATTCTGAACAAGTTAAAGTATTGGGTACAATTTAAAAGAAAACAAAATGCAATCATTTGCTAATCTCAATGGAAAAAAGARCACTTAAAAAATACAGTGTAAACAAATTTATCGTCACATCCGTAAATGCTGGTTAAAGCTCTATCACGCAAAGAAGAAGCCATCTGTAAATGACATGCTTCACTGGGATAAACAACTGTCCTGAGATGTTYTTCTACCATAATAACTACTTTTTTTGCAGTTTCAACGTTTGATATGTCGACTGTGTTCCATCGTGAAACAAATGTGGCTTTATGAGATAAGAAATCTTTGCCTTTGGTTCATTTCGTCCCAACTTTTTTTGGGATCTGGTGTCGTACAGTCACACTCATCATCCATCCAGGTTAACGGTGGCTTTCTGCTTACCCCTCACTGTTGATGGAGGAGTTGCGGGACATGGTTTTGGGGGACGTGTCGTAGTCGGAGTCGGAGCGGTACAGGAAGGACTCCCGGCGCTGGCTCTGAGGAAACGACGGGTGGAGCACCAACCCAGGACTCGCCTGCGAGTCCATGGGACTGCGGCCTGGTGAGGGACCATTCTCTGCGTCAAAGCTGAGGGATCAGAGAGGGACAGAGGTGGTTAATATCTGTTTCATTTCATGTAGTGTGTGCGTGTTGCGGTCTGATTATCTCTCTGTGATCATAAAGTGTAAAAAAAAACAACCTGCAAATGTCCAGACATGCAGGGTTTGCAGTTACTTGGAGAGAAAGTTGTAGAAAGAGAGATGAGACAGATGCTGGTGCTGTGACTCTGCACTAATGTTGAGTTGGCAGACTGCCTCTGGGCTGCTCTGACAATTACACTGTACCGACAAGTCATTTTTCAGAGGAAGTCACGTTTAATTGAGCAATAATAACCGCCAATTCTCTCTTGTCAAAGCTGTAGATCAGAGGACGTGATTGATTGAGACTTGTTTTGTTCGAGCTGAGATCCAAAGTCACCTCCAAGGTTCTAGGATGAACTTTTGACCGGTTGAAAGCACTCACAGCTATTAGAAGAACCCCGAGGACTTTGACCTCTAGTCGTGCTGTGAAGTCCCCAGTTTGTTTATCTTTTACACACATGAATGCACGGCACACTTATGGATGACGCATACAGTGTCCTGCCAGCGGTGTCATGTTACCTCACCGATAAACAGATCTGTGTKAATTTTATTTTATTTTTTCAGTGTAACAGTAAACTTTAAAACAAGTTTATAAAAATCAATTGCAGTCGTGGTCTTTTTGTTTAAATATTCAGACCTTAAGGACAAATTTGCCWACAGACTCCTGGCCAATTACAGGGTCTATTTTTAACGAGAATAACTTTTAACTCTCCTCAACTTCTCAAACTTTCAAAATGGCCTTGAACGCCTTTCAGTTTRATTTCTAAAACCGAGCCTGGTATTTTTAGAATTTGTACGTCTAAATTGGCCAATTAGAAGCTACTCCTTTCCCCCGTGAGGCTTTGTAAATGTGGCTACAGATCAAATTATCATTAAACATGTTTCCTCTGTAATGAAAAACATCAAAAATGTCTGCTAGAGGGGAATCTCTTTAAGCTGCACATGCTAATCCCCCATTTTTTAATTAATTAATTAATTAATTTTATAATTTGTGTGTGTGGGGGGGGATTCTGGGGGTAATTATCAGACTTCAGTGTTTTAAATTCAAGAGTAATCCACTCCAAAATCTTCATGTGATTTGTATTACAGTCATATTTTTTTATATTTTATGACCATGAACAAGACAAATAGTCAYAGCTCCTTGTTTTCACTGGAGCACATTAAAGTTACTCAATGAACTCAAGTCAAAAACATAAACTAAGAAACTAAGTCCTCTCATTCTTCTTAAATTAAAAATCTATAAGAAAATTTGATGAAATCCAACAATTTTGATATATTGGTATATATTTATGCTCATATTTGTTGAGTAAAATATGGTAATATTTTGTTTACATTATATGCGTACCTGCATTTCATAAATGCATCTGTGAACTTCTGAAGTTTTTTTTAAATTGCAMAATATATTATAGTTCAGAAGGACATCTTTTTCTGTTTGATGTCACATGTTGCAATGATTACCTTTAAACACCAGTGCCTCAGTGCACAACCATACCTGCAGAGACGGTAAGGCGTGTGTCTGAGCTCCTGAATGCTGCGGTTCAGTTTCAGGCGTCGGAACAGAGCCGAGCCCCCGTGTCCGCGGGATTGATCATCGGGTGACAACGGCGAGGTGAGTGAGGGGGCATGATGAGGTAGACCCTCAGGACTCTCCCACAACCTCAGCTGTCGTGTCAGCTTCCTCTGACTCATTGCTGCTGGACCTGACCAGCTGGAGAAAACTCCCCCAGTCTCCACTTACAACTGGCTGTCTCACTCTCTGGATGGCTGCCTCTCTCCCACGCAGTCCCCCCCACCACCACTACCACCACCACCCTCATCCACTTTTTTACTCAGGCAGACAGAACTGCAGCACCGTTTGCTGCAAACTGTCGTCAATTCAGAGCTAGATCCATATGCGCACAAGACCCATGTGTGCCACGCCGGAGGAGGCAAGTTCATCAGCATGCATATCCTTCCCTGTGATCCTCAAGGCCCTTAAACTCTTGCTTCCCTCTCCTCACAGCCACAGTTTGTTCCCTGGATTTATTCAAGTCTCCTTAATCCTTGCTCATGCAGGTTGTTGAGAGTTTGTTTGTCCCCACAGCCTTCTCACATTTCACCTCATCAGCGCAGGCCGACTCCTGCTGCAGGACTTCCGCCCCATCTGGTCTCCACTTCTTCGCCCTCGCAGCTCCCAAAGACGTCCACGCTGCGGGAGCGACCTGCGATGATCTGGTAATTTGTCCTAACCAGCCTGCCTTGTTTTGCCCCTCTCACTCGCATCTGTTAGTTTCCCATCCTCCCCACCTCCCTATCTCAAAGCATGTGCTCTGACTATCCTTATCTCACTGCTGACAGTTCCTCTGCAGCAACAGGAAGGCTGATCAGAAAGAGAAACAGACCACAGGCGCAAGAAAAGAGAGACATGAAGCGTCTGTGTAACACGGATTTGAAGAGAATTTGCAAACAAACCAGAAAGAGGAGGAGAGGGAGGAAAATGAAATTCAGGGGGAAATGGGTTGACTCATACCCCTGTGTAAATGTTTACATGTTCTACTGAATAGCGTGCAAGATTTGTGCCCAAAACACTTTTTTTAATGTTCACCAACAGCCTTGTTCACCAACAGCAGTCTCTTTGGCCCATAGAAGCACAATGCCACCTTTTAATAGTTTTGCAGCAATTAGACCATGAAATAATTTTTTAACAAGGTGCATTAGGTCAAGCACAAGTAATTCTGCGATGACACTAGATATAAAAGGCAGTTAGCCTCAAGCAGAAGTTATTTTACACATATGTTGCTCTAAAAGTCCAAATCCAGAAGCAAAACGTCGGAGCTGGTTCACCATCAGGTTTTCTGGCAGCACAACTCTTGATGTGTTTCACGAGGTGCAATTTATGACTTTCATGATGGCAGGAATTGATTAACGCCTTTGAAACTGTCTGGTTAACCCCGGAACTACCAGAATGGCATTTCACAACAACACACTGGGGTGGGGGTGGGGGTGACGCAATTTCCTTTGAGAAGAGCAAAAAATCAAGTAGTAATTTTTCACCGTCTCAATAACAATTTCCAGGTTTACTGTTTGGCTGCACTGTAGCAATAACTCATGCTCTAGAAAAGCTTTTTTTTCACTGCAACACAGTGTTATTTTATAGAAATAAACTTGATAAATCTATATCTTGTACTGCATGTTTATCAGCCACCATCTTTCATGAGTTTAGATCATCTAAAATGACAGATGTGATGTTCAGCATAGGCAGTCGTTCTGATAAATTCAGGTTAATTTTAGGGTATATGGTCAGGGTTAGGATATAAAGACTAAAAAAATTGAATGGAAGTCAATGGAAGTGTCCCCACGGGGTTCAAGAACAAACATGTGTGTGTATGTGTGTGTTTCTTCAACTGTGCACACACTTTGCACGGCCCGGATGAGAGCGCAAATGAGATGTCTTGTGAAAAGTATCTGTTTTTTTTATTATTATTATCCTCAGCCCTTTTTGTCTGCTATAGCACTCAGCAAAAATACAGAAGGGGAGGAAAAAAATAGAAAAAATAAAAATACATGCAAACTCTGCTGCGTGGATTCCACCTTTCAGCAAGCGGCTTAAAGCCTGAGCACAGTCAAGAACACAGCCGAGATAARATGCCTTGTCAAGCTGTTCCTCCCTTCCACTTGCCTTCCACATTCACCAGTTTACCCTTTCTTCTAAAGTCTTTCTCTCGCTTTTTCTTGATAAGAGCAACTACCTTTTGCTTGTGACACACCACGGCTGCTGGAGCTCGGATTGGAAATTCACTTATATAAAAAAAGCAAAAAAAAAACAGTCTTACATAGAAGCCTGTTTGAACAGCATCTTTCAAAGTCAGACTGGGGGAAAAAAACATCAAGAATTCTGATTCACTTGACAGTTAACTATTGTAATCTCCAGAGAGCTGATGAAGAGACAATTATTCTATCTCCTGTTAAATACAGAGTCCCTGCTCGGTTTTAGATGGTGAACCCTCTAAAAGTGACTMATGCACACACACACACACGCACAGATACACACAGATACAGTGGCAGAAACACTCTCTTAGTGTCTCTCCCGCAGTAGAACATTAACTTGGAGCTCTTTATTTTTGATGCATGTACACACAAACAGATGCAAGCACCCTACACAGACTTATTATAGGCTGGGCTGTGTGGTTAGCCCTCTTGGTTTCATTATGTGAAGACGACGTCGCTAGAGTGTATCACTGCGGACAATGACATGATGATCAGAGGTTTCACAAGGATGGATAGGGGGATTTGTGCCGGTAGAGTGAGTCCAGCATTTGTGGAAGAGAAACAAACTGTCTCTGTCTACTCAGAGAGGAGCACATTAAAGCTGCTGTCTCGCATGTTGCCATGCTACCTGAACTACATCGCTGACGCACGCCAGAGACAACCTCATGATAATGGGCAGTGTGGCTTGTTTTGCATGACTGGGAGAAGAAGGCACTGATTTGGAAAATGTAAAGTTCCTTTATTACATGAGCATTGAGGCTGTTTCATCACAGTGGATTGTATTTCGGTTGAGGGCACAGCTTTGCAGGTACAGAATTTAGTTTTAAAAGCCCAATTTAAAAAAAGTTGACACTTTGAAACATTGTGTATAACAGTTTTGTAGTAGAATCACATCTCAAAGAAAGTTGGGACAGGAACATTTGTCACTATGAAGCATTTCCTCTTAAACAATAATCTATAAAATGATAGGAAGTGAGGAATGAATAGCTGGAATTCTCGGAGGAGAGTGCAATAGGGGTCTCTGCAGTATGGGGG